TAGTCGCAACAATTGGAATTATATGCTATACTAATTTTAACAATTTTCTGGTTTTTTAAAAGTTTGAAAACTTGTCCAAAGATTGCGAGAAAAAAGATTTGGATTTTTTCGCAAAGTTTAAGAAATTAAAGAAAGAGGACAATCGGCACCATTTACACGGCACGTGCGATGAGCTGGATAATAAATGCTATGATAAATACTTTGAAAAAATAAAGGAGGTTGGCATCAAGCATAAAAAGTTGTTGAATGTAAGTATTTATACATTATTTTTATTTTTGCTGTAAAGTCTTTTAAACATCGTAGATTAAATGTATGGTTTTTACTTTTGCAGGATTGCTATTCAAAAGTGTTTGGAGTTTGATAATATCAATCTTATAAAATGAACATGTTATTTATAAAAATGATAGCTTTTAACCATAACTAATAACTTATTGTAAAAGTAGAATTATTTATTATTTATAACATGTATTGAGAATAAATAAATTTAATTTAATTTGTCATTACAATTTTGGTATTGATTATTTTGAATAATATAAATATTCTAATTATATTACAATCGTTAGGTTTGGGAAAATAAAAAAATCATACAACCTTTATTATTAATATATTCATATCATAATTAAACTAATGATTATGTAATATTTTATTGAAACTTAATATGAAATACATTTTAAATTAAAATAATAAAACATAAAACTGAATAAATATTTTGTAAACTATATTAATGTGAAAATATATTATATTTTACTTATACCTTTGTTAACACGATATGTCACAACTTAATAATAATATTATTATTAATATACCATGACTTTCATACAGGAAAATAACATATTATTACATTGTTATGTATATTATTACAGGTTATGCAAACGTATGCTTACAATTTGTTTTAACACAATTAATCAATCAGCATTTTGAATTGTTTATGATCATTTGTATATTAATAATATAAACATGAATCAGTAACCAACAATATAGTCTGTTTAAATATTTGGTCAAACAACATATTTCTATGAATATAATCAATCAAATTTTATATTTATTTAAATTATCTTATATAAATCATTAATATTTGAAAAATTTTATTAAAATTAATTTATTGAGTTATTATTAATATTTTGTAAAATATGTTACAAATTATTATATTGATAACCAATTGTTTTGTATTTGTAATTGCTATTGATAAGTATGGTAAACATCTATACGACTATATCAAAAGCGAAACTAAAGTCAAAGTATGTAACCCAGCTATATTTAATGATAATTTGGCTGGATTACATTAATTATTAACATTAGAAAATACTGTAGTTTTCCAAATGATATATGTTATAATGTAAATTATTTTATTATTGTTCTATTACTAACACTATTACATTAAATCATGGGCTATTATAGTTTGCACCCCCTATTAAAAATATTTTATAAATAATACTTTATACAAAAATAATGAATCATATTTGTATATACTTCGCAATAAAATTAATTATAAATTATAATAATTATTTGATTGAGATTTATGTATCCACAAGTTAACATTTTAATAACAAAAAAACTTATTTTTCAACTCGGTGTATTAACAAATGATTGTAATTTTTGTCGAAAAACAAAAATCGGTCAAATTGTGTCACAGATTGCGAGTTGAAAAGTAAATTTTATTGTTATTATAATGAATATATTTTGTAGTTTATTTACACAAATGCTTAATATATTGAATAATGTTGTGGAGTAAACATAATTAACAAACATGCCATTTATTAATTAAGATAACTAATTAAAACAATTATCGTCTTGGTTAAATATTTAATTACTACATCAATTGTATAATGTACTATACATGTCTATTATATTATAAATCTCAGAATAAATACTGGTGTTTTATTGAATAATAAACTGATTTAAAAATTTTCTATAAATACTGTGCCATTAACTATTTTTACAAGTTTATTAATATATATTTTGTAGAATTATTTTGTAAAATGTCTCATTTAAATGCGATTACTATTTTGTCATTAATTGTGATCTTGGCAGTTTGTGTACGTAGTCACGAGGAACATGGTATAAACGATTTAATAGACAAGCCAAATAAAGCAAAAATGTGTGACCCTGGTGTAATGAGCGATGCTTTGGCTGTCAAATTGGATAAATGCGATGAATCGTACTCTACGGCGGTTGAGAAAGAAATCGAAAAAGTATGTTGGTCATTTGAATTCTTATGTAATTGAGAAAGTTGCAATTATAAAAATTATTCACCATGATAATTAAATGCTAGCCTCGATAATTAGAATGATACTAATATTGATGATTTGATAATTTTGAAAAGTTTGAAAACTTATACCACGATTGCGATAAAAAAGAGAAAGAGTTTTTCGCAAAGTTTAAGAAATTAAAAAAGGAGGACAATCAACACCATTTACACCATGCATGCGATGAGTTGAGTGATAAATGCTACGATTCCTACTTTGCCAAGCTAAACGAGGTTGGCATCAAACATAAAAAGTCCTTGAATGTAAGTACATTATTTGTATTATTGTTAAGTTTTATCAATTGTTTAAATGTATAATATTATGTCTAATTTTACAGGATTGCTACTCAAAAGTGTTTGGTGCTTGATAATAGCAGTATTCGAAATTAGACATGTTATTTTTAATTATGTTACTATTTAGACAATAATTGTCAAATTACAATTTGTAATTATTTATAACATGTATAATATTAATAATAAATAAATTAGTATGTTATTGAAATGATATTGATTATTTTGAAGAATGCAAATATTTTAATAATATTTAAATTTATAAGCTTTGGATAAAAAATATTATACAACTTTTATTTTTAGAAATTAATATAATATTTAAATTAATTATTTAATACTAATTATTGATATCTAATATGAAATATTTTTTTAATTAAAAAATTAGACATAAACATAAAACTGAATAAATAGTTCGTTTTTATTAATGTTAAAACATAATATAATATTATTAAATTTTACGAATAACTTTTTTATCACGCTATGTAATGTATAAAATTATAACTATTAATTTACCTTGACTTTCATACAGGATATTAAAATGTTATTACGTTATATGTTATATGATTGCAGGTTATATAAACATACGCAAGTTTTATTAATACAACAATTGTTAACAATAACCATTGTTCATTTATTATTGATCTATTGCATATTAATAAAAATATGAATGTAACAGTAATAAACTATTTTAATATAATCTGTTTAAATAATTGATCAAGTCACAATAATAATTGTAATGAAATCAATCATATTTTTTTATTTGTTTAAATTCTTGTATATAAATCAGTAATATTTGACAAAATATATCTAAATAAAATGAGTTATTTTATTTATTAATAATTAACATATTTTATTATGATGCGAATGATTATAGTGATAACCAGTTTTTTGGTATTTGTAACAATAAGTGCTGATGTTGAGCATGGTGAAAAATCTTATGTTATTTACGACTTTATTAAGAGCGAAACTAAAGCCAAATTATGTGACCCAGGTATATTTAATAATGATCTGGCTGCTAAGTTAGCAAAATGCGATGATGAGCACGATAAGGTCTACGAAAAAGTCAAGGAGAAAGTATGTTAATCATTTATTTTGATTCATTTAATATTATAAAAAATTATTATGTAAGCAGTAAATTAATTCAGCATACACCGCAAAAATTAAATCTATTAAATGAGTTTATACGCTAAATACAATACAATAAATATCAAAAACTATAAATAAATTATATTGCTACAATAAAAACAATTGATAAATAATAATTGATTAAAAAACCGTAAAGTCATTTCTGAATTTCTGAATATTTTTAATAATTTAGTTTGAATATATGACACTCAAATGCAACACCAAGGACAATGCATTTTTTGCCAAGTTCAAAAACTTAACAAACAATGAAGATAATAACAATCATTTATATTACGCGTGTAAGGAACTGGATTTATCATGCTACGACAAATACTGGGAAAAGGTGCATGATGAGGCTATAAAGCTGGTAAAGTCGTCGTTGAATGTAAGTAGCTAATTTTTGTATGAACATTGTTGATATTTTATTGCAAATGTGATTTTTGTTTTAAAATTATTTTGTTTCATTTAAAGGATTGCTATTCGAAAGTGTTTGGATCTTGATGAAAATACAATTTGATCTTATTCAATTTATTAATTCTTGATTATAATACTTTTATGTTGTATAATTTATTGATGTTAATCACATGTTTGGCAATAAACACACTAAAACTGCGTATTAATTTTTAATTTACTTGTATTATTTACTATACATTATAATATAATGAAATATTATTATTAAATATATTATGAAATATAATATAGGTATTATAATTCTTGGTCTTCAAAAATTTAATCAATATAAATCCAATTACATGTTGTTTAATCACATGAATAATATGTAAACTATAAAAAAGTGATTCCCAATGTTTTACTAAAGTAGAAAATTTAATTTTTATTCACTTGCAAACTGTGTCACACATGCAGTATCTTTTGACAGTTAATTTTTGAATCACCTATAATACTCTGTTTGTACTCACCTATGTACACTGAGGTATATGCTATTCAAAACAGTATAAAGTAAGCCACTCCCACACCCCGTTATAAACCAATGCCACATGTGTCATGGTTTCCGCCTTTTTGTACAGCCAAAGGCTGTAGTATAAATACATGCATTGAAAATAAATGCCAACAAGGTTTAGTGACACATTTTATACTAAACACAAAAATCTTGTTATTTTCAAATGAGTCATATAATAGTGTGAGAAAAGGGTTGACACTCGGTTTTCTTAATTTAGTATGTGTTAGAATTGATCTAGATCAAAATAAAATACTTTGATTTGATAATCTAGATAATGACCAACGCATTACTCCCCAGTGGTTATAAACAACACAAGAGATAGTGTTCGCAAACGCAAACAATGTTTAATACCAATCACATGTTACTTGATTTATTAGGCTTTAAAGTAAACATTATGTTGTGTGTTGAACTTATAGTAATTCGTGACCGGACTCGCCCAAAACGCCTACGGACTAAAAGGCCTACTTTTACAAAATTCGAATTGACTTGTTAATTAAGTGATAAATAGGTCAAATAAGTTTAATTATGTTTGGCGCTCATTAATTTGGTCAACAATTACGTTAAACTAATTTTACGTAATTTATTTACTTACCAAACTGTTTATTTACATTTTTCAAAATTTCTTAAACAATTATGCAATAAATGCTCATATTGCATAAATTACGTCAAATATATTAGTGTTATTTATGTAATACTATTGTGCCAGTGTAGATCTCAACTTTGGTCCACATTAATAGTGAAATAAAAAATATTTAGATTTTATGTCAGAGTAGGCCTTTTAGGTCGTAGGCCTTTTGGGGTAGATCCAATGAATGTAACTACGTCCTGAATACTTGTCCGAGGTTATAAGTCTGTTAACAATAGACTACATTTGTAACGTGTTGTGATTGATAATGAAGGCAATTTGATAGAATTTAAATTGTGTATTAAAATGATAAAATAATAGAAATTAGTATCAATTAGTTTATATATAAAATAAAATATAGTTTTAAATGTTTAGTTAATCTATTGAAGTGTAGTTTTGAAAGTGAAGTTATTTTATGAGAAAGGCTCTTTATAAAATACACAAAGTTCTAAATTTAACTAAATTATATTTAATAATTATTCACTAAATTTGATTTTTTTGTTAATATTCCTTAAAGTAAAAATATTTTCATATATACAATCGTATTCAATGTAAAATTGTCTATAAAATTGAAATATTACTTGTCTATATTTATAAAGTATAGATTCCCAATATAAGTGGTCATTACGGCCGAACCCGAGGTCACAGGACAATATAAATTACTTAATCAAACTCGTCTATTAATGGGCTTTCATATCCAGTCATAATTTCCAGTTTTCCAACTTATGTATGGGTGGGACTAATTAATATACACAAAACTATGACTTCATTTATGACATAATTTTTGATGAACGCATTGTGGGATATACAGGCGCTAATCTGATTCAAAAATAAACTGTCAAAAGATACTCCATGTCATAAGTTTATGTAACTTATTATTTGTTACATTGAGATTCACTGTTGTAAAATAATAGAAATTATTAATAGATTAATATTAATTTGAAATCATTGTAATCATAG